TTCCTAGACCTGTCACCCAAAGCCCAGCTCATTCCTTGCCTCTGCCTGACCTGTCTGGAGCTGCACTAAAGGCTATTGCACTTGAACTCTGTGGCCAGTTCTGGGCCAAACTGTACCCAATTGTTGGTGTAGGAGGGAAATGATGGGGCAGCTGCCTCTCTCATAGTTCAGGTGTGGGGATTCATGAATTCTAAAGACCAGAAGGGGCAGGGAGTCAGGCAGCAGCTGCTTCCTTCTGTTGCTATTTATTTCACGGCCTATCTTGTTGCCTTCTGGGAAATGATGACCCAGGCACCACCTCTCTGGAGGGATGTGATACTCGAAGCTGCCTTCTGCTGCTTGTGTCTCAGTTGGCCTGTCCATGAGGCTTGGCCATTTATTTTCATCCTGAGGAGGTGAAGGATAGAGGATCTGAACTCTTGAGGAGCAGGAGGTATGGAGAAAGGGTATATTAATACCCGTAGCAGGTAACAGCTGTGCAAGGAAAAGGATTTAAAGCAGGCAGTAGATGTAGGTTCTCTATCTATGAGGTTCCTGGATGCCTCTGATTTCCTGTTTTCAGACTAAATTCTGTAATAGCTCATCATGAATAATATATAAAGACAATAATATCTAAGAATTATAAGGAAATTCAGAATAGTGTAGGCAGGAAATTACAAATTTGTATGAGTACTCTATGCATTTGAGTTTTTGGTTCTTATTGCATAAATACAGACAATATTATCTATATTATTTTTACATAGTAGTTCCCTCTTGTCCAAGGGGATATGTTCCAAGACCCTCAGCGGATGCCTCAAACTGCAGATAGTACCAAATCCTATACATACTATGCTTCTTCCTATAAATATGCATACACACATACCACAAACACCTGTAATAAAGTCTGACTTATAAATTAGGTACAGTAAGAGATAACAGTAATAAAATAGAACAAGTATAACAATATGCTATCATAAAAATTATACAGATGTGGTCTTTCAATATATTTTATTGTGTTAAACTCGCCCTTTCAGTGATGATGTGAGATAATAAAATGCCTGCATGGTGAGATGAACTGAGGTGAAGGACGTAGGCATTGTTGACATAGCGTTAGGCTACTGTTGACCTTCTGCAGGTGGCGTATACACCATGGATACATTAGACAAAGAGATGACTCAGGTACTGGGTGGGCTGGAGTGGGACAGGATGAGATTTCATCACACTACTCAGAATGGTGTGCAATTTAAAACATGAATTGCTTCCCTCCTGTATCATTGTTTTTTCCTCTCTTTTGGATAATTTCATTAGCATAGAATTATGCCATAATATCTATTGTCCTTAAAACAAAACTTCCTTGACTCTGTATCTTTCCCAGATGCTGTTCTATTTCTTTATAGCTCCCACTCTGTTTTACAACAAAACTCTGGAAGGAGCTGCCCACACTCATCAAATACTATTTTCCCATTCTCTCTCGAATCTAAGATGGCCTCCTTCTCTGCCACTGTGCTGAAAACAGTCTTCTCAATGGCACTGGTTACCTTTACTATGACAAATTTAGTGGTCAGAATTCAGTGCTGGACCACATTCAACACAATGAATTGGTCTCGTCTTGAAACATTTTCCTTGTTTATCTCCATGTTCTGATCACTCTTTAAGGTGTTCCTCCTGCTGTTCTCACCAATCCTCCCTTGTGAGCTAGTCCTTTTCTTCTTCATGGTTTCTATACATTGGAATGGGCAGGGCATGGTGGCTCATGCTTATAATCCCAGCACATTGGGAGGCCAGGACATGAGGATTGCTTGAGCCCAGGAGTTCAAGACCAGCCTGGGCAGCATAGCAAGAACCTGTCTCTATAAAAAAAATAGAAAATTAGCTGAGTGTGGTGATGCACGGCTGTAGTACTAGCTACTTGGGAAACTGAAGTGGGAGGAGCGTGAGACTGCAATGATCTCTGATCGCACCGCTGCACTCCAAACTGGGTGACAAAGTGAGACCCTGTCTCAATAAATGAATGAATGAATGAATACATCAATTTTGAAAAGCCTGATGGCTCAGTTCCTGGATCTTTTTTCTTCCTTATTTACATTGTCTCATTAAGTGATCTCATATAATCTCATGGCCTTAAATATTAGCTGTATGCCAAAGTCTCCCATATGTGTATCTCCAGTCTGAACTCTCTGAAGTTTGGACTTGTATATTCAACTATCTATTCAACATTTGCACATGAATGTCTCCCAGATATCTCAAGCTTAACATGTTCAAAACCAAATGCTGGAATTCCACTCTTACTCTCCATAGCTGCTCCTCTTTGAAATCTTCTGCGGGTTAGTGAAGAGGAGCTCCGCCGCTCTAATTGCTCTGGTCCACCTTTGGAGTTATTTTGACTCTTCTTTTTTCTCACACTCCACAATCAGTCTATCTGCAAGTCTGGCATCAGAAATTGACCACTTTTTACTTCCTTGGCTGCTATTATCCTGGCCAATCCCATCCTTTATCTTTTACTTAGAATGTTACAAAAGCCTCCTAATGTCTTTCCATGTGTACACCCCTGCCTTTCTACTGCCTCCATAATGTACATGATCCTTTTCAAACATAATTCAGATTGTGGGGCCAAGTGTGGTGGCTCACGCCTGCGAGGCGGGTGGATCACAAGGTCAGGAGTTCAAGACCAGCCTGGCCAATATGGTGAAAACCCAACTCTACTAAAAATACAAAAATTAGCCAGGCGTTGTGGCACGTGCTTGTAGTCCCAGCTGCTCAGGAGGCTGAGACAGAAGAATCACTTGAACCTCAGAGGTGGAGGTTGCAGTGAGCCAAGATTGTGCCACTGCACTCCAGCCTGATGACAGAGCGAGACTACATCTCAAAAACAAAACAAAACAAAACAAAACAAAACAAAAATCAGATTTTGTCCTTTCTCTGTGTAGAACCTCCTCGCCATGGCTATTTCATCCAAATTAAAAGCCATGTTTTTATCATGACCTGCAAAGTCCTATCTAATCTGCTTCCTTTTCCTCTGTAACTTTCCTCCTTATCCTTTTTCCTACTCACTCCAGTCCAGATGCACTGTCAGTTGCTGGAACACACTAAGCACATCTCTGTCTTACAGAGCATTAGCACTTGCTGCTTCTTTTTCCTCCTTTTCTTGGTTCAAGGCTTTCCATGACCATCCTGTAAAATAGCACCCTCCCATCGAGTTGTTCTCTAGACTCCTTATCCTCATTTACTTTCCTGCTGAGCCCTTATCGCTGTCTGGCACATTATTTGTAAACATTCTCTTAAAGCCTGCTTCTCCCACAAGAGTGATAGCTGGGCTTTGTTTTAGCTACATCTTTACAGTATTCCTAGTACCTGAAGAATGCCTGCACACGGTAGGTGTTCAACAAATATGTGAATGAATAAATAATCAATTTTATTCTTCTCACACCTGCCCCACCCCTGGCAGACTATTTCAGAGTCCTTTGAGATTTAATGAATGGAATACTTCCATTTTCTGTCTCTGTGCAGCAAATTTATTTGTATTGATTCCCACTTTCTTTCTTCTCATCTTACACAAGATGATGTCCTTTCTCCACATCCTTTTTCTCCGACTCCTTCCTTTTGTGTTCTCTTGCATACTGATATTGTTCTGCAAGCCATTTCTATTCTCTGTGTCCTGTCCATTTTTAAACATTTTCAAGTACCTCCCACCTTACAACAAAAACAATCAAGAAAACTTTCCCTAACCCTATATCCCTTTTAGCTACTCTCCTATTTCTTTTATTCTCTTCATGCACAGTTACTAAAAAGAGGTGTCTACTCAGGCTAGCAAATCATCAGCACACGTGTTTTCCACTGTTGCTGTCTGTAGACATTACCCATGAATCCCAGTGCCCTTTTCCAAAGTCTACAACCAGCCTCAGAACATTCTAAACATGTTATTCCAGGCAGTCGTTAATAACCAGAGTTGACACTTCATATGATGCTTGCTTGTCATCTAAGCTTATTCTTGTCTTAATTTCCTCAGCCTCATTGCTCAATCAATTACAATACAAATTGTGACTTTCTACCTGTTAAATGCAATGGACTCTTTGTTTTAATCAATTTCTCTTCTTGAAATTCTCTCCAATCTTGATTTCTGTAACTCTGATTTTTGTTGTCATTGTTTTTATTTTTTTTCATCCTCAGTTTCCATTTTGGAACACTTTTCCTTGCCTGGCCCTGAAATGTTTACATTACTCTAGTCAGGGGTTCTTAACCTGGGTGAATTATTTCCTGGAGAATCTAAGAACGAACTTAACAGTGTGTGTCTGTGCATCTGTGCATCTGTATGTGTGCGTGTAGTGTTTTATATATGGATATTTCTAACTACTGCAGCTATAGTTTCTATCGAGTTCCTAACAGGGCTAAGCATCACTGCCACTTTCTTTCTCTGGATAATCTCGTGCAAGCCCATGGGCAACCAGCATGACACAAGTGAGAGCTCAAAAGGGTCCAAGTCGGCCGGGCGCGGTGGCTCACACCTATAATCCCAGCACTTTGGGAGGCCGAGGCGTGTGGATCACGAGGTCAAGAGATTGAGACCATCCTGGTCAACATGATGAAACCCCACCTCTACTAAAAATACAAAAATTAGCTGGGCATGTGGCGCGTGCCTGTAGTCCCAGCTACTCGGGAGTCTGAGGCAGGAGAATTGCTTGAACCCAGTAGGCGGAGGTTGCATTGAGCGGAGATCATGCCATCCCACTCCAGCCTGGGTAACAAGAGCGAAACTCCGTCTTAAAAAAAAAAAAGGGTCCAAGTCAAATAAACCCATGTTCATGGTTTGAACTTACCCTTCTAGAAGCTGTTTGACTAAAGAAACATTACTTAACCTCTCAGAAACTTGGTTTGTTTAATTGCAAAATGGTAGAAATGACCCCTAATTTGCAGGGTTATTATAACAAAGACAGATGTCCTTTGTAAAGCTCTTGGTGTTTCGTAGTGGTCAGTAAGTGGTAGCTGCTGTGATTCAGCCACAAACATCTGGGTCCCTCAGGAACATAAGCTTGTCAGTTTGCAGAGCCTCTCCTCCCAGATTTTAAAACACTTCATTTTTAGGATTCTACCTTAGTGAAGCAATAAGCATGATGTGACTCATGCATTATAAATTAATTGACTCTGGATGTTCGAAATCTGCTAGCATGCATTTATTAATGTGAAACATCTCAACAGCTGCAGAGAGCACTGTCAAGTCATCTTTTTTACAATATTTAGAAAATCAGAATTGGGCATATATTAATATAATCAGACTGAAAGATGTTTATAAATTGGCTTCCAGTATTTATCTGGAACAATCAAAATTGCACACACTAAGAATGTTATTAAACATAGCAGAAACCAAATTACTCAATATATACAATGTAATAAAAATTGATAGGGCAGTAAAAATTGCCTCGGTATGTATTTCTAAAGCAATGGAAGCTGAGCAGGTCTCTTTTCAGAAGTATTCTATATGTTTATTGTATACTACTAAACATGTCTGTAAAACTGATCATTTACTTATACCTTCATTGCCAATCCTGATTCCAAGCCAGCTTGTGAAAAGGCTTGGATAAGTATTATGTTTTAGAAGCTTGACAAACATTTATAGTCAACATGTAAGTTATTTATACAGCTCCATAAAATAATGCAGTTAAATTACAACCCAGATATTTTGGTTTGCAAAACAGCAAAGGATCCCAGGAACTCTGTGCCTAGCAGGGATCCCCAGTTCACGTGGAGCCATGACCTTTTATCATTGGTGTTTAGCTGTATAACTTTTTTGCCCCTTTCTCTACTCCTACTTCCAAAAGTGATACGTGGCATACAGAAAGGTACATTTAAAACCCTTACTTACTGAATTTTTGAGATTATATCTTAAGCATTTCACAACATTCTCCCAAGTAATTAAAAACACCCTGAATTGGGAGAAAGTTAGAAACTGGAATTCAAAATCATTGACCTAGATCTTTGAGTGAATGACTAATATGGAAAAAAATTAACAACTTAATTAAGAGTCTGTTTAAAAGTTTTCTGCAGTTAATTAGTTATCATGTGACAATATACTTTTGTAATCAAGAGATGTGGTTAGTAAAATTTAGAGAGGCACAGAAAAATAATAGAAATATTTACTTGCAATCCTATCATCCAGAGGGTACCACTATTTTTGTAATGTTTCCTTTCTTCCTCTTGCCCTCTTCATCTCTTCTTTTTCTCCTTCTCTTTCTTTTTTGAATAAATTTATAACTATATGTCTGATTAAATATGTATATACACAAAAATTATATCCCAGAAAATATATAACCTGTATTTTATATACTACAATATAAATAAGCATAATGTATAAATATATGTAAAGTTGATAATTGGAATAGCACTGCATTTTTAGTGTTATAAAGAAGTCAGAGATATAGTCAGATATTTGCAGATGCTCCTCAATTTATGATGAGGCTATGTCCCAGTAAACCCAGAGTAAGTTGAAAATGTTGTAAGTAGAAAATGCATTTAATACACCTAAACTACTGCCCATTAGCCTAGACTACTTTAAATGTTCTCAGAACACTTACATCAGCCTACAGTAGGGCAAAATCATCTAACACAAAGCCTATTTTATAATAAAGTGTTGGCTATCTCATGTAATTTATTGAATACTGTATTGAAAGTGAAAAACAGGATGGTTGTATGGGTACTCACCATGAAGTAACATACACAGAAGAATGCCTGCTGGGCCTGAAGAATGTTTGAACTAAAAATAATTGCTGGATGGTGGAGATGCTGCAGCAACAGGGTTAACAATCTTTTTCTCTTCTGAGAGACCAGAGTATAGAGGAGGGCACTGACACTTGTCAATGGTTTAGCAGGCACGGTCTTCTTCAGGAAGATATCAATTTTTGACTGTACAGTTTGTTTCTTCTTTTCATTATGTATTTCTCTTTACTGTGAACAAGAGCATCCCTTATCTGCCATCAGCTCTTGTGAATCTTTTGTAATTGACATCCATTTCTCTAACTCCAAAAGCCATTCTAGCAGTAGTAGCAAATATTTCTGCCAGTTTCTTTGCTGTGAACTTCCTTGGTGCCTTTGGCATAACTTCTGCTTTCTCTGCCTCAACTTCTTTACTTCTTTCTTCCTCCAGTTCAATCAGCTCCTCGCTGGAAAATTCTTGGGCCTCAATGCCAACAAGCTCATAAATTTTCTCTTTATCAATATCCAATTCTAGTGATTTTCTAAGCACTAGTATCTGGTTACCTACTATTTCATCAACAGCAGAACCTTTGTTAAAGCCTTTGGATGTGTTTATGTGTCTTCAAAACTTTCTTCCAAATGCCGTTCATGCATTGCTGTGTGACTTCTTCCCTTGTTGTGGTGACGTTCTGGATAGAATTTAGAATGCAGCCAGATTTAGTCGCACCAACAGCCTGCGCGAATGTCTGGCGTATCAGTATGCTTTGAACGCAGTTCTTGTGCCTTGATCCATTGGTTGAATGAAAGCATTTGTGTTCAGCAGCAGATTCACAACGTTTACATCAAGATGCACGTCACCGCCGCTGTGGAAGCCCTCCAGCCTTGTCTAAGATCAGAAGAATCTTGAATGGAATGTTGTTTTGCCTACAATATTCTCTTGCCTGTGGAATAAAACAGTTCAAAAGCCAGTCTTCAAACAATGCTGATATCCAGGCTTTTTCGTTATGGTGATGATAAACAGGAAGTGTGTGGTTGCTCACATTTTGAATGCTCTCAGGTTCTCTGAACAGTAGATTAGGAAAGGCTTGAATCTGAACCCTGCAACATTTCCACCTCAAATTAAAGTCTTCCCTATAACACCCCAAAGCAGTGTTACACAGCCTCCAAATGCCATAGATCCTGGCATTGGACTCTTGGGGAATGTATGTATGCTCTGGTGTATACATTTAGAAAAAGGTCATTTCATTGACTTTAAATATTTGTCCTGGTAAATACTTCTCATCCACACTTATCCTATGCAGCTCTTCCCAAAATCTTAGGCATCTTCAAGATCAGCACTTGCTGCCTCACCACAGACCTTCATATTATGAAAATTATGATGCATTTTGAAGTGATAGAACTGGCCATGTCTTGCTATAAACATTTGTATATATGTAGGATCATCGGTATACTCTTCTTACCCTAGCCTAAATCATCAGTAGGCTAAGTGGTATGCACCTCTATATCTGGTTTTCCATCCACATGACAAGTAATTTTTTCATATTATCAGTCAGCCCAGCTCTTTGTGATAATAGCGGATTTAACCAATGCTGATAATTTCACTGTCTCGGTGATTTACATCTTATCCTTTAAGATGGTTGACACCATGGATCATGAAAGTCCTAACTCTCTTGCAATGGCCATTACTGGCTTGTGTCTTCATACGGGGCAACTATCTTGGGCTTCATCTCAAGAGTAATTGCCTTCCTTTTCTTCTCACCAGAAACAGGAGACACAGATGAGCATTCTGCAGACATGATAGGACACAAAAATACAAAACGCAATATCCAAAAAATGCCAGCAACACAGTACACAGTAGAGTATTATGTGGCTGCGTGGCTGACTGGGAGCTGCAGCATGCAGCTGCTACCCAACATCAAGAAGGTATTGCACCATCTATCGCTAACCTGGGAAAAATGCAAAATTCAAAAGTTTCTACTGAATGCGTATTGCTTCACACCATTGTGAAGTCAAAAAGCTGTAAGCTGAACCATTATAAGTTGAGGACCATCTATATATAGAAAGATGTAAACATTATTTATAATAGTAAAAATCTGAATAAACCTCAGTGGAATATTAGGCAGCCAATAACTTTTAATAATGCACATTAATGCATGAGTCTTTATCTTTTTTATGTTATGTATATGACATTTTTATAAGAAAAATGCATGTGAGAAAACTTTTTACTTATGTTCCACATATGAACATTTCAGTCATAAGAGAGAAAAAATAAATATGGTATTGTGTTAGAAAATATCATATTTTGACAACTTGTCAGCCTGATTAAACAAGAGTAGATTTTTAGATACAATTATATATTTATGAAAGGCAAATACCATGAAAGAAATCTTCAAAGTTTTGAATCTTTTTTTCACATTAACCCCCCCCCCCCCCCCCCAATAATCTCCATGCTCATTCTTGCTCTCTCTTTCTTTCAATTTTTTTTTTTCAAATATCCACCAGGTTTGAGATGAGCTACTTATTTTCCTCTGGAGTAGAATATGGCTCTTACTTTCCAGCATTAAAACCATTGAGAATTAAGTGTTTTCCAAAAGAAAACCTTAAATTGAAAGATTCTTATGTAAGTAATATTATGTGACTGCAGCCAAGGTGCAGAATTATTAATATCTATCCTGTAGGATAGCACAACAGGTAATATAAATTATGAATAACATTTATCTCAGTCAAGTGTATAAGAACCCTTGGAAGCAAAGGCAGTTTATAGACATTGGGAGATTATGCAGTCTTTGCAAAGCCATTTTAAAATTAATATGCAAAATCCATAATGCTTTATGTTTTCAATTGCTTCTCTCTGTAGTATATAATTTGCATATTAATTGGCTTTAAAAGTTAATTGATACTTTATCTAAATTTGAATAAAATGAAGTGTTGGAATCAGATATAGAACCTATCTTAAACCTCCATGCAATACTTGTAGAGCATAATTTACAAAGTAATTTGATATAATAATTTACATAGTAATTTGATATAATTTACAAAGTAATTTCATATTAATTGGGTATGGAGACTGAATCAAACTAGAAAGTAATTCTTCTTCAAGACAGAACTCTCGTGCTTCTTTTTTGTATTGGTAGGTATATACATTTCCTCCTCTGGCCTTTGGATGCCTTAGTTTTATCTTTATTATCTGAATAAAATTCCATTGAATGTGAATTACATGATTTGGTTCTGTCTTCCCACCCAAATCTCATCTCCAGTTGTAATCCCCATAATCCCTACATGTCAAGGGTGGGACCAGGTGGGAGGTAACTGCATTATGGGGGCAGTTTCCCCTATGCTGTTCTCATGGTAGTGAGTGAGTTCTCATAAGTTCTGATGGTTTTCTAAGGTAGTTTTCCCTGCTCTTACTCACACTTTCTCACCTGCCACCATGTAGGGCGTGCTTGCTTCCCTTTCTACCATGATTGTAAGCTTCCTGAGGCTTCCTGAGCTATGTGTAACTGTGAGCCAATTAAACCTCTTTTCTTTATAAGTTATGCAGTCGTGGTGTATTAGTCAGGCTTCTTTTAGAGGTACAGAACTATTAGGATGGATAGCTGGATGGATGGATGGATGGATGGATAGATAGATATAAAGGAGAGTTTATTAAGTGTTAACTTACACAATCACAAGGTCATGTAACAGGCTGTCTGGAAGCTGAAGAGCAACGAGAGCCAATCCCAGTCCCCAAACTGAAGAATTTGGAGTCTGATATTTGAGGGCAGGAAACATTCATTACAGGATGCTAGGCCGGTCTCTCTTTTTCATATTTTTCTGTCTGCTTTATATTCAGTGGAAGCTAATTAGATTGTACCCACCAGAATTAAGGGTGGATCTGCCTTTCTCAGTCCACTGACTCAAATGTTATTCTATTTTGGCAGCACCCACACATAGCCAGGATTAATACCTTGTATCCCTCAATCCAATCAAGTTGAGACTCTGTATTAACCATCACACTTGGTATGTCTTTATAGCAGTGTGAAATTGACTAATACAGTAAGACATTCTTTTCAATATTGATGCATTTATTCTACAGTTAACAGAAGCCAAGAGAATGCTTTCTGGAATATAAGTGAGAATCTACATTTTGAAAATATACCACTGTAATGTAAGAATAGTAACCATTCTACTGGTTCTTTAAAAACATTATTGTCTACCCTCTTTGGGCCAAACTATTCTCACCTTTTAGCAGTTCAACAATTGTTTCAGATGCACCTTTAAGCTTGGGGTCTGGGATATTGGAGAAGAAAATGCAAACATATTCACAGAATAGTGAGGATGGGTAAGATCCCCGCTCCCTGGTGCTGCAAGTGTAGAGTACATCTGTTCCACTAACTGGCACAGACTCAAGGTCAAACCACAACTCTTGTAAGGTTAAGCGTCCCATTGAGAGAATGAGGCCAGGCATGGTGGCTTATGCCTATAATCTCAGCACATTGTAAGGCTGAGGTTGGTGGATCACTTGAGGTTAGGAGTTCAAGACCAGTCTGACCAACATGGTGAAACCCTGTCTCTACTAAATGCAAAAAATTAGCCAGGAGTTGTGGTGCATGCCTATAATCCCAGCTACTTGGGAGGCTGAGGCAGAAGTTGCGGTGAGCTGAGATGGCACCATTGTGCTCCAGCCTGGGGAATAAGAACAAAACTCAATCTCAAAATTTTTTTTAGAAAGAGAGAGGATGAATCGGGGCCAGGAGAAGGTTCCATGTCAGAGCTCCTATTGGTCTTCAATACTTCCTGCCCCCAGAACAATCCTGCAGACACTCAGAGTGTTTTGAGGTAGTTCTAGAGCTTTATCTGGATGCCTACTACAGGTGTTACTTTACAGATGCTTTTCTTTTCACCTGAAAAGAAAAATAAACTTGACATATGAGTGTGTGAATTTGAAAATTTTAAAAATAATGAAATTATAGTAATCATTTCAAATGATTATTTTAGATGGTAAGGAATCCAACGTGTAAAACATAAAAATTATATTTTTAATTTAAGAGAATAAAAAAATCTATGAGTGTACTAAAATAAAAGTAGTAGTCAAGCTCGGGTTTCTTAATGATGAGTTTCTGAGTTATTGAGGCAATTTCTCATTATCTTGAAACAGAGGTAGTACATTTTGGAGTTGCATGAACAATACTTATATTTCCTTGAGTTTTTGTAGATGGAAGTTTTTTTATTTAAAATTGATCACAGTAAAGATGTATGTGAATCTGTTATCCTAATCAATATTTCAAAATAATATTGTACTTTAAAACTACAACCTTTCTTTACCTATCTGTGAATGTGTTAAATGGGAAAGCAGCATTTGTCCCATCTGAAAAAAAAAAGTCAAAAATTTACCATCCATTTAAAATGCATCATGTAGTGAAACTAATTGCCTCAGTCAGAGATCCAAATGAGTTTGTCAATTCAGAGAATTGTGTTAGCACTTACTGGCAACTATAATTGTGGCAATGTCACAGGATCCTTTGGGTGTTACTTTTCCAGCTGGAAACCTCTCTGGCCAGTGGCACCTTTGTCTGAGTATTGCTCATTCTGCCTACTCAGCCTGACAGGCTGTGCTCGGCTTGCGCTACCAGCCTGGATCCCATAGCTGCCAAGGGTGTGCCAGATGCAAAATGGCAAGGGGTGTATGAGCGAGCGCAGGGTCCAGCCACTGCACACAGCCAGGTGCACTGGCTACTGCAGTGGGGCAGGCACCTCCAGGTGCTGTCACAGGTGCTGGCTCCATGCAAACCTGTGGCTAGATCTGATGCACTGCAAGTGGCTTCTGCTGCAAGCACACACGTCTGAGCAAGGGTAATGTGGTGGCACCCAGGAACTTGGAGACACCAGAAACCACAGAGCCCTGAAGAGGGAGTCACAGCTTGGCTCAGGGAGGCTCTAAGTCTGGGCTTTCTGAAGGACCACACCTCTTCTCGCCTTCTGATGCTTGCAAGGTGGTGAGTATGGGGGAAGTGGGCATGGGTGTTTAGGTCCTGTTTGTGTTACAGCTCTTTCAGTCTTCCCATTTGGTGGGTCTTGGGTTCTTGACCCACATTCAGGAAGAATGATGTACATGGACAACTGGAGGATGAGCAGAGCAGAGAGGAGCTTTGTTGCTTGACAGAACAGTTCTCAGGAGACCCAGAGTGGGTAGCTCCTTTCTGAAGGCAGGTCATCCTGACGAGTGCCCAGCTCTCAGCAGAGAGGAGACCCACAGTGGTAGCTTCTTTCTGTGGCTGGTAGTCTCCACGTCTGTGTGAGTCTGAGTCTGGAGGTTTTATGGGCTTCAGAAGGAAGAAAGTGTGTGCTGACTGATCCATGGGCAGCCCTAGATGGGCCTGGACCCAGAACTGGCAGTCTGGTTCCCAGCTTCAGGCCTTTCCTGGCTTGAAGGAGGGGTTTTACTAGGGACCTGCCCCTTTCCGCTTAGGAACTGTCTGCTTCATGCTGTCATCAACATGTCTTCCATGGCAGCTTGGCTGTTCATGCCAAGGGGCACCTGCAGGCCTGCACTGTGACACCCTCAGCCCCACTGGCCTCCTTCCCATGCTTATTGGCACTTAAAGTCTGGAGGGGGCTGAGGCAGCAGGGAGCTACTGTATCAGTACTGCCCTGAGTGTGCACACACCCAGCTTAGTTGTGACAGTGCCTGAGCTTGACCACAACTTTGCTCCACCCTGGAGCAGGCACCAGGAATGGGGAGAGGCCAGAGAGTGGAAGCTGACACTTCTGAGCCTGCAGGGGCAGGAGGGGCGTCCCAGGTTCCCTAAACACAGGGGATGCCAGGTCTGGAGCCATGGGTGGGCAGCTCCAGCTGCCCCCAGAAGTGCAGGGCTCCCAGCCCACCAACTCAGCAGGGGGCAGGGATCCTGCCTGTTCCCACCTCTGCTGGCTTCCTGGAGCACACAGCCCTGGCTCCGCCTCCTCTACTGCAGCCGGCAGCTTTACAGCAGCCACTCCGAATGGGCTGCCGCTGCCATCAACAACAGGTCAACAAAGAATGGTTAATATTGCTCTTCAGTTGCTTAAAGTAATGCATACTCCAGTGATAGGTCATCTCATTTATCATGTTCCATTGTGGCTTACTTGCCTTGCAAAACTTTCAAACTCTTTTGAATACTTTCCCATCAAGCATCAGCTACTGGCTGATTGTTTTCCACCTTGCTATTCTGATTACTAGTTTTTGAGATCAGCTCCTCCTGCTGTTTCTTCTTCTGCCTGCTGGTACCTAAGCTGCCCTGAGAGCATTGCATTTAGCTGTTGACATAGAGTGAGTTGGTAACCTGGAGCACTCAGTATTCTCCACTTTCTTATGTATGTTCCTGACTTTAGCATGTCTGTGACTTAACTGTTTCTCTTGGCATGACCCTTGAGTTTACTAGATTCAGGTTTTTATTTATGAAGCATTTTGGTGATTTGCTTGGGAAAAAAGATCTTTTCAGGAATTCAATTTTTTAAAAGGCAACTTACAGTGTTTGTGTTCCTTAAGCGTAATTTATAACTACTCATTCAGGGTGTCCTTTAGAAAAAGTTAACCACAGTTAATTATTAATAGTGGTCAGTACCTTTAAATTATAATAGACTAGAAAAATACTCAGTAATGAATGAAAATATTTGTATTAATCAATGAACTACTCAGAAGCAGCTTAAGGAAATTCTGCGGTGTTTCTTTTTGATTAGTCTGGGACAAAGTGTTTATCACCACATGCCCTCAAACACTAGGGAGTTTCTGAGACGCTCTCCTGCTCTCCCTCTATTCCACGGCTCCTGCTCAGAGCAAATACCATTGCCATATTCCCAGAAACCTCTCCTCTGATCACGACCCTGGTTTGGCCAAATGGCTCTATTATGACGACTACAGACTCGCGCTGCCGGACTTTTTGCAGGTATTTTAGGTGTCTGCTATGAATAGATTGTTACATCCTAGTGGGTAAGAGGCTGTGGCGTAGGGAGTCCTGGAATCTTACAGAAGAGTAGTAAGGCCTGCTTTGTGTATTCCAAGTTTTAGAGCAGAATTACCAAATTTGTTATGTTGTATGCTTTGTTACTCTGGGAAGCTTCTCTATCAACCACTTCCTCTTTTCCCTCTTTTTCATGTTCCGTCCCCCAACACACACATCATACAGCCCTGAAATTCATATTACACATTAATCTGAGTTCCTTAGTGCTATATACTTTTCAATGCCTATAAAGCTATAACTATTTCCAGTGCCTATAAAGCTGATAATTATCAGCTTTTAGTACTAAACAGTCATTTATAGCTGTTTGTTCTATCACTAACATAAAATCCATTATGCAATATATATTTTATAGAATAACATATAAGTGTATGCACACATGGTGTCATATCATTTGGTCAGTATAGTGGCAGAAATGTGACATATTAAAGATGAATAGGTAGAACAACCACAGGACTCAGAAAATCTCACAAGTATACTAAACAAATTCTTTTGAAGAAATTCGTCCTGATTTTAGAGAATCCTGCATTTTAACTTTCACATAACACATATAAGAGATGTAATATATTCTGGGATTCTGTAAAAGATTGGTTGAATTTCACACTTTTTTTTTTGTTGAGGGAGAGTCTTGCTCTATCACCCAGGCTAGTGTGCAGTGGCATGATCTCAGCCCACTGCAACCTCTGCTCCCTGGGCTCAAGTGATCCTCTCACCTCAACCTCCCGAGTATCTGGGATTACAAGTGTGCACCACCACACCCAGCTAATTTTTGTATTTTTAGTAGAGATGGGTTTCACTGTTGGCCAGGCTAGTCTCGATCTCCTGTTCTCAAGTGATCCATCCACCTCGGCCTCCCAAAGTGCTGGGATTACAGGTATGAGCCACTGTGCCCGCCGCATGTTCGCATTTCTGAGTTTGCATTAGTTCAAAACAGCAGAAAGACCAAAAGCTTAGGGCTGAGGGGGATGGTGGGGGAGGAAGAGTCCACAAGAGTGACCACATGTTTATAATTTCACCCAGTACATGGATCTAGAAAGATCCATAGTTACATGTAAGTGGGTCTTGGGAGAAAACGTTTGTAGCCAGCCTAAGCAACACACCAAGACCTCAAAAAGAAAAAAATTAT